CGTGGGGGGGCAGAAGGGTGAAAGCTAGGAGCAGCAGCAGGCAGGTGTGCATGATATGATGGCACACGTTACCACACTGCTGCATGAGCTGGTCCCATGTGGGGGTCCGTCACTCAGCATCATTGCATATCTTCTGTGCCAGAGTCTGCCTCATGTTGTGCAGGGGATGCTTGCATGCTGGCGCATGAGGCCAGCCCGGCGCACTTTCGGGGCTGCTGGGTTCTGTCGCCCCTCATGTCCAGCTGTGGAGAACACAGAGATCAGTCCTCCATGCGGACACTGTCCCTGACGCCATGCCCTCCTCCGAGCAGTGACTAACAGTCCTTGGGTCAGAGGAGGGAGATGTTCCCAGCAGCAACGCCAAGTGCAGCCCAGGGGACCGTGCTGCCTGCTTCCCACCACCCTGGCCCATGGACAAGCAGGCAAGGGAAGTGTCCAGCCACAGTGGGATCTCCCCATGGGCAGCAGAGGAGCTGGGGTCAGCCTGGCCCTCCCTGGGGTCTGTACACACACCTGTGGCTCACAGTGCTGCCTCCGGGAGTAGCTGGTGCCTCGCATGTGCAGGCATGCCCGTGTGCTGTGTGGCACTCCTGGGGGTGTCTGGGGTCATGCCTACGCCCTTGTGATTAGCCTCCTTCCAGCCGTGGCAGGTGCTGGGAGGGCTCCCCCTCTGCAGCAAGACGTCTGTAGCCTCCCCTGAGTCTGGCAGCAGGATCCCACCCATGCTCAGGGGCTGCCTGCTGCATTTATGGGCCACACACTAATGCTTCACGTGCATGGACCGCAGCATGATGTCCAGCCCGAGTGACACTTGCCCCCTGTGCACCGGCCTCCCCCACCCTGTGTGTGTGACAAACTGAAAGCACTCACCTGAAGATCTCTCCCCAGCATCCAATGAGGCCTGGGAGAAATCCTTGCTGACAAGCACCGGCTCCAGGGTCAGAGTGATGGTCTTCTCCTACTCCAGCTGGCCCTAGTCTTCCTGCTCCTCCTCTGCTGTGACTTCCGGCCAGGCAACGATGGGGATCTCGAGGCCGGAGTCCATGACAATGGGTGAGGAAGACATTCCACCCATTTGGTGCCACTCCTGGTAGTAGGGGCAGGTGTGGGGTCCTGCCTCTGAGCATGAGCTGCGTTTTCTGGCCTGGACATATCCCTGATGGAACTCTCTTACCTTATTCTGGACCTGTTCCAAGGTGTCTGCACCCTGCCAGGGACTCAGCCATGCACTCAAATATGTCAGCATTTTGGTGCTTTCCGTGGAGATCCTGCAATGTTTTCTCCTCACCCCACAATCTTGAGGAGGGACAGGATCTCCACTCCAGACCAGGAGGGTGCACACCTCTTTGTCCCCCTGGGTGGGTCCTGGGACCCCTGGGGCTGATCCCAGCAAGGAGTTGCGGGGGGCTTGAGGCTCTGCCATGGGTGTCAAGGCTTGTGGCAGGGATAGCTGCATGGTGAGGTGCTGATCTCAGGCTGACCTGCCACAAGGCTTGTCCAGGGTACGTGCAGCTTTAAGAGGGGCTAAGAGACAGGAACTATAGAGTCCTGATTCCTTTGGATGGAGTGTCTACCAGGGCACCTGGGAAAATCAAAAGAGCAGAGGGTTTTTTCTGACATTGGTAATCCTCTTTCTATGAGGAACAAGCCTTTTTCCGAAAGAGCTCTTTCGGAAAAAGGCTTGTTCCTCGTAGAAAGAGGATTACCAACACCGGCAAAAAACCCTCTGTTCTTTCGATTTACTTTCAGAAGAAAGTGATTGCAGTGTGGATGTAACCCAGGTTTTGTCGGAAAAACGGTCACACACTTAGGTTACGTCTACACTACAAGATTTGCTGAAAAAGGCAATGCAAATGAAGCACGGATTAGCATTGTCTTGTGCTTCATTTGCATAAACTATTCAAGCCTTTTTTTGCTCAAGGGGTTTTTGTGCAAAAACAAGCAGTGTGGATGTTTCCTTTTTTGCACAAAAAAACCCTTTTGCACAAGGTTGTTATACCCCCTTTTTTGAGGCATAAGGCTCTTGCACAAAAGGGGGCTTTAGCGGAAAAAGGAAACGTCCACACTGCTTATGTTTGCACTAAAATGGAACGGAAGAGAATATGCAAATGAAGTATGAGAAAATGCTAATCCGCACTTCATTTGCATTGCCTCTTCTGGCAAATCTTGTAGTGTAGACATAGCCTTAGAGTCTTTGTGCATATACCACTCACATTCAAAGGCTGTGTCTATACTACAAGCCTCTTCCGCAAGAGGAAATGCAAATAAAGTGCTCATTTGCATAGGTCGTGCTCTCATTTGCATTTCCTTTTCTGATCCCTTTTTTGCAAGAGGTTTTTGTGGGGGGAAAAAAGAGCTGTGTAGCATCTCTAGGCTTGGCAGTTCATAGCCCAGGAACCTCTGAGTTTACTGCCACAGCTACAAATGTTAAAAATTGCTTGCGCCCTGGTGGTACTTTCATGACAAATGAAGCACTACAGACAAGTGGGTGAGAGAGGGAATGAGTCACAGATAAGGACCTACGGATCTCACCACATCACTTCTTTATCCAAACCCCCATTTTAACAATCCCATTGAATGTGAGCTGGTGTTAAACAAGATCTCACAGCTCCTGGATATAGGACTAATAGAAAGGGCTCCCTCAGATGACAGATTCTTCAGAGTATATTCCATTTTTGCCATTATTCAGAAGCATATGCAGGGAGTGGGATAGTGGGAGAGGGGAAGGTTAGAGTCGTCCTGGATCTCAAGTGGGTCAGTAAATGGATGAAGAAAATCATTGTAGAGAAAGACTCTAGTTTCAGTGGTAGCATCTATATCTAAAGGGGACTTCCTTGGTTTTCTGGTTCTATCACATGTAAATCTCCAGATTTCCATACACCCATGCTGTCACAGACTGCTGGGATTTTGCATATGGCATCACCCACTGTCTGTAACAAATGCTCCCTGGTGGTCTTTTGATGTCATCCAGAGGGTACGTCTACAGTAGCCCCCTAGATCAATCTAGAGAGGCTAATGAAGGCGACCAAAATTGCAAATCAAGCCCGGGATTTAAATATCTTGCACTTGATTTGCATGTTCCTGGCCAGTTGCCATTTTAGAAATTGACTAGCCCAAAGTAACTGCCCACATCTACACGCGGCAGTGAAACGGGATTCTGATTTAAATCCCCTAAATCAAATTAGCTGGTAAATCTCATTGCAGGGGGCTAGTGTAGACGTACCCAGAGTCCTTACCAAGATGTTAGTGCTAATAATACCCAGTCTTAGTTCTGAAGGCATTCACCTGTATCCTATCTAGGGAGCATCTTGTTCAGATCTTGCACCCGAGCAGTGACACACATTGCCAGAGCCTAGACTTTGGATCTATTAGAAACTCATAGATTTGTGATGAACACCAAAAAGAGCTCCTCGTTTCCCTCCACAAAGAGAGAAAATCATAATCCTAGCTATACAAAATAATGATGGGGGTCTCAATTAACTGTTACCACTTGAGAAAGAGAATTTGGACTCATTATGGACAATTCTCTGAAGACGTACTCACTGTGCAGTGGAAGTAAAAAATGCTAAATTTTAAAAACCATTAGGAAAGGAATAGATGATAAAACAGAATATGATAATGCCCCTATCTTAGTCCATGGTAAGCCTACATCTAGAATACTGTATGTAATTCTGGTCATGTCACCTCAAAACAGATATACTTTAATTTGAAAAAAAATACAGAGAAAGGCAACAAAATTATTAGTGACATGAAACAGTTTCTGCATGATGAAAGATTAAAAAGACTGGGACTGTTCAGCTAAGAAAAGACATGACGAGGGATCTAAAAAATTATGGTATGGATAAGTGAATTAGGAAATGCTATTTACCCCTTCACATCATCTAGGAAGCAGAGGTCCCAATGAAATTAATAGGTCACAGGTTTAAAACAAACATAAGGAAGTACTTCTTCACACAGTGCACTGACAATGTGTGGAACTGGTTGCCAGGTGATGTTGTGAAGGCCAATCGTATAAGTGGGTTCAAAAAGAATTACATAAAGTCATGTATGATAGATCTGTCAATGGCTATTGAGATGGTTGGGAATGCAGCCCTATGCTTGGGGTGTCCTGAGCCCTTTGTTTGCCGAATCGTGGGACTGGACAACAGATAACAGATCATCTGGTCATTGCCCTTGTATGTTCATTCTCTCTGAAGCATCTGCAACTGGCCACGGTTGGAATATAGGGTTAGAGGGACAATTGTTCTGATCCATTATGGCAATTCTTATTTTCTTATACATAGGAGAAAATAGCAAAAATGAAATTACGAGTTTGGGTCCCTCCTGCCCCAGTGTAATGGTTCTCATTTGGTATTTGGTGGGGAGTGGATCCTTGGGGTAATGGTGTTTTACTTCAGAGGCTGGGCCAGCCAGACTCTGCTCTCAGGTTCGGGGGGTAATCAAGAAGACACAAATTGCTGAATGCGAATAAATGCAAGGTTTATTAGATATTACAGAAGGAAGGCAAGAGAAGGCTTACAGCATCCCTTTGGCTTCCTGGGGACTCCTGCTCAGCAAAGGCTGGACTCCTGGGCCGTATTGGAGAGGCATCTCTGTACAGTTCCAGATCCTTTGGGAAGTCCAAAGGGTGTTGGCAACATTAAGCAATATATAGTCTATACACAACATCCTAGAAGTAGTAGCTAACTCTGTGCTAAAGCAGAAACCAAAACAACAACTGCCTGTGCGGAGTTTCCCACAGACAGGCTCTGGTTACCATAGAGCTTATCTCAACTATGTGATGAGTTTCTCCCCCCCCCACACACACACAAACACACTAGGCACAGCCTATCTCTCTAACAAGCTAGATGCTGGGGATTTTCCCTTCTAATAGCAGGCCAAAGCCTGTTTTCTAGTTTGCAGACATGAGAACTGGGAAGATTCACTAACTCCTTGAAATACAATGGTCTTCCAGTTTTCCAACCACAACACATGGCCACAACTCTTGACTGCACATAGGGTTGTGAGGAGGGGGCCAGGGCTTTCCCACTCTACAGGGCTCTGACCCAGGGTCCTTTGAGCTATTAATAGTCACAACCAGGGCTGCTTAAGGCTCTCCTCCCTGGGCCTCTTCATTTTATCCCCCCTTCCAGTCCAAGGCTTTCCCCTCGTGGGAAAATCCAAACCATAAGTAAGAGAGGGTTACTAATGTCCATAGGATACTTCCCTGTCTGGTTGTTTCTGGGGTGAATCCTCCCTTCCCTCAGGGAGGGTCTCTTTGGGCAGTTGTGTCCAAAGAGTCTTAGGCTTCCTTCTGCACCGCATTGCACGAGCTATGAACTGTAGGTCTGCTCACCTCCAGCTCTGCCACTCAAATGAGCTAACTCCCTGTCTTTTAATTGATCCAGCAGATGGAACATTCGCTGCACATACGGCAGAGTGGGACTGGCTGAATCCAAAAGAATCCCTTAATCCCAGGTTGCCCGGTGTGAGTTTGTACGTCCCATCATGCCCAGGTTTTGCAAAGAATGAATTCTGAACTGTATTATTTATTTTATATCCTAGTTACACTTTGTCTGTGTGAACTATGTTGTAGCTTGTTATATGCTTGTATAAAAACAATAGCAATAACTTTTTTTTTAATAAAGGAAACTGCCAAGTGAAATTTACCATTCCTGGACATAGCACTCCACATTCTTGGTTACAGAAAAGTATTGTGCTGCTAGAGAGAAGTGGTGGATTCCCATGGAAGGCACTAAAATAGTTTGAATCCTTCCTGGAGGGATGTTTCCAAAGTGTAGTGATAGGAAACCTCTACCATGAAACCCATTACTTGTAAATCTCCACCAGGGACAGTTTGCTCACCAGTCTTATTTAGCATCTGCAGCCAGCCACAGGAGAACTGATGAGATGTCATGAGTAATAGAAACTCCTGTCCACTGCTGCACACTCTTTATTTATCCCATCTGATTAATCTGAATTCATTTGCCACAAATATTTTTTCTTAAAATGACAAATTCAGTGATTTGGGGGCTTGTAAAAATAATATTGTATAGCTCTGATATAGAATCATAGAACTATAGAACTGGAAGGAACCTCAAGAGATAATCAAATCCAGCCCCCTGCTCTCATGGCAGGACCCAGTACAGTTTAGACCATCCCTGATAGACCATTTTTATATTTAACTCTCTAAGTTGTTTAAAAAAAAAGTTTAAGAATGGGGATAACTGAGGCACAGGATGAGAGGTGACCTGTCTATGGTTACATAGTGAGGCCACAGAGATAGGAATGGAGCTTGGCTCACCTGCGTCTCAGTCTAGTGCCTTGTATCCTAGACTAGTAACTGAAAATGAAAAATATGTAATTGAAAGTGGGCTGCAATCTTTCAGTTCTCTAAAGGTGAAACTTTTTTTGTCAATTACCATATTTTTCTCTAACTTTAATATTGTTCTTTCAATATGCTCTTCAGACTTGGCATTCTGTTTCATGTGGATTAATGAAAAAGTAGGAGATGGAATAAAATATTCATATCTGGACTTATTTACAGTCAAAGTGTTTGCAGTACAGACAAGCAGAGCCCATTAGATGCAGAGAAGAGTTTGGAAAAGTGATTTTGCGTCTGTGTTTCCTACCCACTTTATTCAAATTCAGTGCAAACATTCTAATTATTTTTATCAACAGCACACTCTTTTTTGCAAGGATATAATAATATTTTAAAGGAATACTCTAGTAGGAGCCTCCCCAACTCTTTGCTTACTCAGGCTACAGCTTTTCCCATGAGATCATATAAAATCACATTAGTTAATTTCACATCTAAACAAACATACACGCCTCCCTCTCTTCTTTCTCCACATATACACAGCCCACATGCAAATAACACCCTCTCCGGAGTAAAAGCTTAGCCAGGGTGAAGAAGAATTGCTTAAGACGGAAATAGCGAAGTTGGTACCATGAGAGAATTTTCTAATCCTCTGGAGATAACTGGACTGAAACTTTTTTCTCCGAGAATATAACCTTTGTTTAGAAGATGTGGAAAAGAATGTAAGCCTATGCTTAATACGCTCTTGTTCTTCCAGACAACAGCAAGATAAATGCTGGGAACTTTTACATGCTTAAGAGGCACTCAGGAAGATAAGAAAAAACCTTTTCTTAAGGTGAGTGATTTATATGAGGCATTAATAGTTAACAGGAATTAAAGAAAATGTGAATACTTACTTCTCCATTTAGAAGAGAAAAAGAGTTTCTTTCACTCCAATTTTGGTGAATTTTATGCCTGTAATTTCAGATAGTGTGACCAAATTATGGACAAAGATAACATATAAAAATGTAATAGATGGATCAGTAAATTTGTATGTGCTCTTATGTTGAGATTCTAGATGTATGAATGGTATAAAACAAAAATTCCTTTTGTATATTTTTACTTCAGAATAAAAGGACCTCACATAATCTGCAATTATTTCAATAAATTAAAGTTTGATACCTCATTTTCATATCTGAAAATGTCAAACTGACTGAATAACTTTTATATTCTAAAAGTGGAAAAGAATAGATCTTTACGTTATTTAGCCAGATGAATAAAAAAAGAACAAGAACAGAAGTGGGGCCACTCTGCAGTGAATATGGGGAGGAAGAATAATGGAAGTATGAGCCAAAACATAAATGAATATCTTGCCTCACTTTTCAATAGGGGTGATAATGTAGAAAAATGGGGGGGGGAGGCCAAGGAAGGATGGTGAATAGGAATCACTGTATAGAAACTTAAATTTTCACATCTGAGGTGGAAGCAAAACTTAAATGGCTTAATGAGCTCCAGTCAGGGATAACTCATCTCCATCTCAGAATAGTGGAAAATTTGGCACATGAAATAGCCAATCTAGTAACCAGAATTAATAAATCTACCAAAGTAGGTAGGAACAGTATGAATGGATCATGTCAGACTTACTAGATATCTAACTTTGACATGACAACTGATATTTTAATCAAGGGAAATCAGTCAATATGATCTACCTGGACTTCAGTAAAGTATGAAAAATTATTAAACTGGAAAAGATGCAGATTAGTACAAGAATTGGTAAATGGAAATGCCAACAGGTTGTGCTAAAAGGAGACGCATTAGACTGAAAGGAGAGTGCTAGTGGAGTTCCTCAAGGATCAAGTTACTAGTGGAGTTCCTCAAGGATTTGTCTTGACACCCATCTTATTTAATATTTTCATTAATGATTGTGGGACCAAAAGTTGAAAAGGGCTGCAAGACGTTGCAAATGAGACAAAGATGGAAGGCATTATCAATACACAGGAGGATTTGAGTATTATATAGGAAGAACTTGGTGATCTTGAGGCCTAGAATAATAAAAGTGGGATGAAATGTAACAATATAAAGTACAAAGTCATGCAGTTAGGGTCTAATAAGAATTTCTGTTATAAGCTGGGTACTTTTCAGTTGGAAATGCTAGAGGAGGAGAAAGACTTGGTTGTAGGGTTGTCAACACACAAAACCAAACATACTTGACCCTCCCCTAACCTGAGGCACTGTCCCCCTCTCATTCCATCCCCCCTCCCTCTGTCACTCACTCTCTCCCACCTTCACTCATTTGTTCATTTGGTACTAGGTTGGGGCAGGGAGTTGGGGTATAGGAGGGGGGTTAGGATGAGGGTGTGAGCATAGACTGTAGACTGGAGTGCAGATTCCAAGGTGGGGCTGGAAATGAGTGGTTTAGGAGGCGGGAGGGAATTCTGAATTAGGGCAGGGATGTGGCTGGCAGCAGGCTCCAGGAGAGAAGGGGAGTTTGGGTGTAGGAAGGCGCTTGAGGTTGGGAAAGGGGATTGGGGTGCAGACTATGGTGTGGGCTCTGGGTGATGCTTACCTTGAGGGGCTCCCTGGAGGTGGCGAGATGCCCCTTGGCTCCTAGATGTATATGGCCAAGCAGCTCTGCAAAATGAGTACACCTGCCCACTCTCTGCAGCTCCCATTGGCTGTGTTTCCTGGCCCATGGCAGTTGCAGAACTGGCACATGGAGTGGGGGCAGTACATGGAACCCCCTGGCTATCCTTGCACCTCAAAGCCAGAGGGACATGTCACTGTTTTCTGGAGCTGCACAGAGTCAGCTAGGGAGCCTGTGAGCTCCACCCACCAGACTCTTAATGGCCTGGTTAGTGGTGCTGGAGCCACCAGAATTCCTTTTCAACTTGGATGTTCCAGTCAAAACCAGACATCTAGCAACTCTACTCGGTTGCAGTGCTTTTTTTGTAAGAAAAAAGGCGCCGGTACTCCAGGCTCAAAGTTGTTGAGGAAAAAAAAATCCAGCCAAAAAGTTTTTGAGCCCCCCCCAAAAAAAGGAGGGGGAACCCTGCACAAGGGGCCAAAATGTCTTGGGCGGGCTTCCATTGGGAGCCAAGCTGCCCCAGGAACCAGGAAATAAATGCTGGTACACAAGAGGGGAATCCCATTCAATTCAAGTAAGATGGGAAAATAGGTGCCATCCCAGGGTGTGCTGTCACACAAAAAAACACTGCTCGGTTCTATTAGTCAGTTGCAGAATGGGTGAACCACCAATGTTATATGGCCATGAAAATAAAAATGCAGTCATAGGATGTATCAGGTGAGCTATTTCCAATGGAGTAAGAGAATGATTAATTACATTGTACAAAGCACTGGTGGTACCTCATCTAGAATATTATGTACAAGGCTCATCCCATGTTCAAGACATATGAATTCAAATGGAAACAGATACAGAGACTGGGTCTACACTTCAGTTGAAAGCCAGCTTAAGGTACGCAATTCCAGCCACATAAAAAATGTAGCTGGCCTTGATGTACGGTAAGCCAAGCTTTGGCACCGTCCTAACAGCAGGAGGTTAATAGGAAAAATGCTCCTGTCGACTTCCCTTACTCCTCATGAGGAGTAGGAGTTCCAGCATCAAGGGGAGGGAGCACCCTCAGCACTGCTAGACCCACTAAATCAAACACCAGAAGATCAACCGCTGTAGTGTCAATTTTCTCTGTAGGCTAGACATGGCCAGAGAAGGGCTGTAAGGGTGATTAGAAGAACGCGGAGCCTAACTTTGGAGAGGAGACTAAAAGCGCTTGGCTTGTTGAGCCCAGGGGGAAAAACTGAGGGGGGAGATGATTGCTCTTTATAGTGGGGGGCAAGCCCAAGAGGAAGAAAAGCTATTTCAGCTAAAGGACTATGTTAGCATAAGAACAAATGAGTACAAACAGGCCATGAATCTATATTAGGCTGGGAATGAGAAGGTTTTTAACCATCTAAGGAGTGGAACTCTGAAACAGCATCCCAATGGAAGTAAAGCAAACAACCTAACCCATTTTAAGATGAAGTTTGTGATCCAAGTTATATGATGGGGTTGCACGCAATAGCAGAGAATTGATCTGATGGCCCTGGAGGCCCTTCCCAATTCCATGTCCCTACTTTAGGGTGGATTTTTTTTTATCAGAATCTTAATTCGGTCTCTGTTTTGTCTGTCAAACCAAAAACACTTGGGAGTCTTGGAAGATGATTAATAATTGTGGTTTTATCAAAATGACCTTGATAACCAATAAAGACAGCATCGTTGGTGAAATAAATTACACAGTAGTGAAGTCAAAGGAAAAGTGTCAAAGAATAAATTGGATAGGTGGTGGGATTTGACCAGAAAAGTGAAGATAAACTCTTGAAACTTATCTAACTGACAGATACAAGTCCCTTTGGTTGAGTAGGAGGGATGAGAGGTTGGAAGGTTTGTGTCTGGGGGAGCTAATGGAGATTTTATCCATATATGGAGATATGTATATGTTCATTTCCCCACAGGAACAATGGATGAATCTCTGGAAAGATGGTATGAAGTAGAATAGAAGCACATGATGCATTTTGTCAAGCCTAGTAACAAGTATACCTGTAGATGTGCCAACTTGGAGACTTTCAGAGGAGACTGTTGTTGGAGCTTGTGCACATTTCATTGGCATATTAAGTGTTTTGTACTGCTGAATCCTGAATAATATTTAAATGGTGTGATCTTTTAACAGAGATTGTTTTCTGGGATGAGAGAGATAAAGTGTTTGTTTTTAGTCTTGGCCTTTTGCCTAGGATAAGTAAAGCAGGTGGAGATATCGCAACGTGGCTTGAGCTTTCCCTGTCTAGATTGCCTAAGACCTTCATAGATGAATTCTGCTAATATGACTTTCAGCTTCTTTAACAAAATGAATTCAAAAAGTAGACAGCCAAATTGCTAAATAATACAGGATAGAATTTGATATCAGCTGTGAACTTTTTCTAAGTTGTGAATATTTTTCAAGTTTAAGTTCAAAGTTTTCAGTTTTTGATCCTTCTATAAGTGTTTTATAATTGACCAATCAAATTTAATGCAGAGATAATTTAAAACAATGGTATTAAACCTTGTGGGCTTAAAGTTTCCTTATTGTGTTTTATTGCTAGTTTATTTTTTCTCGAGTTTATTCTAAAGAATGTATGGCTCGTTTTAGATGTAATAATTCAATTTCTGTTGGCATTGAGGAAAAAAGTTCTCTTGGCACAGGTTAGAGTAGGGTCAGGGCTAAGAATTATAAGATCTTTGACACATATACTAGAGAGTGACTTCAGCCACAGCAGTGCAAATCTAATATATATAGGAGAATGTTTGTATGTTTGTGCACTAATAACTTGGACACTATAAGAGCTACCGCAAACAAACTTTGCATCTAGGAGAAGGTTTTAAGGTACTGTGGGAGGGAAGAGATGAGAGACCAATGCCTCTCCCTGGGGCTGCATGGAGCTTGGTAGTGTGGGGAGAAGCGGTTTCCCAAAGAAACAGTGGGGACAGTCTCTCACTAAGGCCAGCTGAGGGACAAGGAAGTGGAGGGCAGGCTCGGGTGCCAGTGGCAGGCGCACGGCTCCCTTCTCCCTCCCTCCCCTCAGGCTCCTCACCTCAGTTATATAAACTTTCCCAAGCAACGCTGGTAACTCCAGCTAGTCCAGAATAACTCCTTTACTTAACATAATTACACTGGGTTACACTTTAGAGTAACTAAGATTAGAGGCAAGCTTCTTGCAAACTGCTACAAATAGGTAAGTAAAAAAGCGGGAGTTAAAGACAGCATGGTTTTTCCAGCTCTTCGTTTCTTTATTTTCCATCTTACTTTATATCTTTAAATTATTCTGTGT